TTTGTATCTTTGTTTCTATCAATTTTTTAATTGTTGACAGTATTATAGATGTCCCCCATATTCCCTTTTGTCCCTCTCTCCGCACTGAAATCTATTATTCTGTTCCATGCATCCATGCCCCTGGACCTATTTTGTTTGTCATTTTATTATGTTCATTAGATTCCACACATAGGTGAGATCATGTGATATTTCGCTTTCTTTGACTGGGTTATTTTACTTAGCATAATAGTCTCCAGGTCCATCCATGCTGTCACAAGGGTAAGAGCTCCTTTTTTTGTTTGTTTGTTTGTTTCTGTCAATTTTTTAGAGTTCTTTAGATATTAGGGATATTAGCCCTGTATCTGTGTTTTATTTTTAAATTTTCTCTCCCAGTTTGTCATTGCCTTTGACTTCATTCTTAGGGTTTGTTGTTGTTTTTTTAACCTTGAAGAAGTTGTTTTTATTTTTATGTAAAGTTAAATGTATTGATGTCTTTTTATATTGCATCTGGATTTTGGGTTGTGGTTTGAAACCTTTCCTTACACCCAGATTATAAATACATTAACCCATGTTTTCTTCTATTATGTATATGGGTTCATTTTTTCATATTTAGACCCCTGATTCATTTGAAGTTTACTCTTATGTAGAGTATGAGGTATTTGCTTTTGAAACCGTTTCTATTAAATGTATTAATTAAACCGGGGGATGCAAATTAAAATGCTTTAAGGAGCCAGGCAAAGAGTAAATGAGAGAAACTAGATGGCAGAATAAAATAGGGATCACAGAGGTCTGTGGCCAACCATAGATTAAATTTAGTAGGTGTATTAGTTTCCTAGGGCTGCTGTAACAAAGTTCTGCAAACTTGGTGGCTTACAACAACAGAAATGTATTTTTTTCAGTTCTGGAGGCTAGATGTTTGAAATCAAGGTGTCTCAGAGCTCTGATGGAGAATCTGCCCCCAAGCCTCTCTCCCAGCTCGTGGTGATGGCTTCATAGCTCCATCACTCCCACCTGTGCCTTCATCGTCACGTGGCCTTCTTTGTTTTTGCCTGCACCCAAAACTTCCTCTTCGCATAAGGACATCAGTCATTAGATTTAGAGCCCACGCTAATTCGGTTTGCCTTCATTTAACTTTGCAGATTACATCTGCGAAGATCCCATTTCTAAATAAGGTCACGTTCATAGGTTCCAGGGGGACACTATTGACCCAGTAGAGTGAGGGGAAAGCAGAATTGTCTGGAGCCCCTGTGGCCTGCACTCTGAGAGTCTGGGGACCCTTTGTAGATATCTTACATTGTTGTCAGAATCACCTCTGCTGAATGATGAAGAATCTGCTGTGTTGGGAAACTGAAACTTCATTCTGAGAATCGGTTTTGAAAAGCATTGACAGCTCGTCCACACGAAAAGGAAGAGGAAATCCAATGGTCAACTCTCCTAAGTCTGAACTAACAGATGGCCCGTCCCACGGCCGCGCAGAAGACAGGCTTGTTCAGTATGAATGTTTGGGTTTCCCATGGGAAGCCAGGCCCTGTTATGTATTTTCTTTGACTGTAAGGTGTGAGTTCCTTCAAATTCCTCTGTGCCAAAAGAGGGCCCATTTCCTACCGGGAAGGAGGAAGATGGTGCCTTCCCTGACCAGTGGCAGAAGGGAACTCCAAGATGCTGGAAGGGTCAGAAGGACATGACATGCCGTTGCGGCTTTGAAGACAGACGGGGCCATGTGAGAAGGAATGTGGGAGCAGAGAGTGGCCCCGGCCTACAGCCAGCATGAACCTTAGAGACCTACACCCTTAAAAAAATAGATTCTGCCACAACCTGAATGAGCCTGGAGGCAGATTCTCCAAGAGTCCAGCTGGGTGACACCGTTGTTTTCACCTGTGAGACCTGAGCAGAGAACCCAGTGAAGCCTGTTCAGATTTCTGGCCTGTAGATTGTCAGATGATACATGGGGGTTGTTTTAAGCCACTAGGTTTGTGCTAACTTGTTATGCAGCCGTAGAAATTAACACACCTCTGCTCTTGGTGAATTTCTAGGGGTGGAAACACTAGATGGGGGGAGAAATAGAGATTTGGCATTAGGCAATTTCTTCTGTTGCACCTCCATCCATATATTCAAACATTCAGTTTATAAGAACTTCTGTTCCCTGTGCAAGACATAATTAAAATCAACCAGTGTGGGGTGTTCTCAGTGGCTTCAGAGGTTGATGGGAATCCGACACACGTGCCCTCTTCTGGATAACCAACCAGTAATGAAGACCAGTGAGCCAGGTGTATCTAACCACATTTTATCCTGGCGTCTTATAAGTTCCCAGGGCTAGAAGTAATCTTGGTAAAGTCTTTTAACACAATTCCCCCTTTGGGGTAACGTCGCAGAAAATCGCATTCCCTCATCCCCCCAAAAGAAGCAAACAGCAAAGCTTTTATATATCACAGACCTGGGTGCACCTAGTAAGTTACTGTCCACCTCCCAGTAGCTCTACCTCATAATGTCGAAGATGAGAGGTGTGAAAACTGGCTTGTGGCAGGTACTCAACAAATGTTAGAAGTTGGGCTTATGATCCTCAGGTGCAGCACTTACTGCACACCCGTCCCTGATATCATGTTGTTAAGCAGCGTGACCCAGAGCAGGGATCCTGAGCAGTGTCCTCACACCATCACAAAGCTGAGGCCCAGAGGAGGGACTTGCAGCTTTGGCTGCACATAAGCATCACCAGGGGATGGCTAACCATGGCCGTGCTGGCACGGTGAGGAGCTGGCCCGCTGCCCAGAAAGATAACCCATGGAACCCTGAGCATCGAGGAAGCGCGTGGACGGCGCAGGCCAGGTTTCAGGTGGGAGGAGGGTTTGGTGCTGAGCAGGTCAGTGTAGGGTTTGAAAACCATTTTGTCTCTTGCATGATTTGGGACTCTTGTGTCAAGGAGGGGGTGTGAGGATGGAGGGGAATGGGAAAGCCCCCACTCAGGCAAGGGTGACCCACGGCCACAAGAATGGGTGGGAGTCGGGGGTGGGTGGGTGTTTGATCATGGAGGACGATCATGGGCAGACATGGCCCTTTACCTTCCCTGTCTCTATTGTGGGTTGAGTTGTGTCCCCCCAAAAATATGTGTTGAAGTCCTAACTCCTGCTCCCTGTGAATGTGGCCTCATTTGGAAACAGGGCCTCTGCAGATAAAATCAGGTTGAGATAACGTCATTAGGGTGGGCCTCATCCAATAGGACTTGTGTCCTAAAAAGAGACACAGGAAGGAGGCCTTGTGAGGACAGAGGCAGAGGCTGGACGGGTGCAGCCACAAGCCAAGGGCCACCAGGGGCTACCAGAAGCTGGAAAGGCAGGGAGGATCCTCCTCTAGAGCCTTCAGAGAGGCAGCCTGCCAGCACCTTGACGTCAGACTTCTGGCCACCAGAGCTGTGAGAGATCTTTGTTGTTCGACCCGCTTCTCCCTGCCCTCCCCCGCCCCCCCCCCGTTTGTGGTGCTTTGATAGTGCAGACCCAGAACACCAATCCAGTCTTCGAGGCAAGGGCCTGGAATGTGCAACGCTGCTGATGAACTACCCGAAAGCCATTCCCAGCTGTTCTCTCACTGTCTCAGACGACAAAGGTTGGAAAACAAAAATTTTACATGCCCACTTCCTTTGCATTCAGGAGTGACCATGCAATCCAGTTCTGGTCAATAAGACCCAAGTAAGTCTGCCCAGGGGTAGCTGAAAATGTCTGCTTCTCTAACAAGGGGAAATGTGTCGGGCACACCTGCTCCCTCCACAGCAGAGCCCCTGTGATCACGGCACGGCCCCAGCATTAGGGGTCCGTGGCTGCTGTCTTATTACCTTGCAGTGGCAAGCACGGAGACTCGCCCAGACTCCTTGCCTGGCATCATTCAGCTGCTCAGCCAAACCATGGCGTGAGAAAAATAAACTCATGTTTGTTCAAATGAGTTTCAACCAGTGGGTTCTCTTCTACCTGCGGCTGAACGCGTTCCTAGCTGAGATCATGCTCCGCCAATAGGAGCCTTTTCAGACCCCTCTTCCCTCTGGTGGACCAGACAGGGTGAAGGCGGGAGCTCTGGGGGGAGGAGTAAACAGATTCTAATTCCAACTCTCACCCCTTCCCTCAGTGCCCCCAAGCTATCTACTTTACAAGATGGCAGGAGAGTAGGTAGGGGTCCTACAAAAAGCTCAATACTAAAAACAGTCAGGGTCAGGGTCAGAACTGTCTCATCTTGCCTGACTTTGGACTCTTGCCACCAAATGGGTACCCCTTTCTTTAGTGTGTGTGTGCGTGTGTGTGTGTGTGTGTGTGTGTGTGTGTATCACAGACACCATCCTCCTCCCCAGCTCAGCTCAAGCCATTCCTCAATCAGAGAACATTAATGGCAATAGGTCATCACGGTTGCTGCCATTTATCGCGTGGGTTCTGTGCGTGGGGCACAGAGCAGTAAATCCCTTGCCAAAGAACAGACAGCTAGTAAGTGACAGAGCTAGGCCTTGAGGCTGGCAGCTCACCATGCCTCCTGCCAAATCTGAGCTCAGGGTTTTGGCACTGACAGCAGGAAGGGCAGAAATGCCAAGGGACAAAGCACTTTCATGTCTCATTTAACCCTTGTGGCATGCTTTGAAATCAATGGCTCATTATCTTCACCTGGCAAAAAAAAGTGGTCAGGCCTGCGGGGAGGAGAGTAGACACTGCAGAGCTTGGACTAGAACAAAGGTTTCCTGATCCCAAGTCCTGCTCCCTCTAGAATGGCTGAAGATTGAGGCTGGGTTAGGATTGCAACTCATGGGTGAGAAGGGACACTGTAGAGCAGTGGTTCTCGACCTTGGCTGCACATTAGAATCACCTGGGAATCTTTTTAAAATCCTGATTTCTGGGCCTCCTCCTCCGGAAATTCTGTTTCTTTGTTACGGGGTGGGGCCACAACATTAGTAACAAAGAAACAGAATTTCCGGAGGAGGAGGCCCAGAAATCAGGATTTTAAAAAGATTCTTAGGTGATTCTAATGCGCAACCAAGGTTGAGAACCACTGCTGTAGAGCGAGTTTCTTCAACACCGTGCAGGTGACCCTGACGTCAAGTGCTAACAACACCTGTGGAGGCCTACTCAGCAGCGGCATCTCACTCGGTTCTCCTTTGACAGATGATGAGACTGAGGCTCAGAGAGGCCGCTTGTCCTCTACTGGGTAGAAAGCCAGTAAGGACAGACCCGTGTCTTGTCCACTATGCGACCCTGTCCCATTGGGGGTTTCCTGACCACACAGAGGCCTTTGCCCTCACGTGTTAACCACAGCAGCTTTAATATATACACACCAGTATGTATGTTTGTATGCTTTTATATGTATTTGGCTTACGATTTGGTTTGAAGTGTGGTTTCTGTGGCTGACAGTTTTTTAAATCACTGGTTAATGTGTCACATGTGATTCTCTCACATATCTGATTCTTGGCACTGAGACCTACTTTCTTTTACGCAGGAACAGCATTCCACGAGGACATCTGTACAGGACGATCAGAACCATCAGAACCATCCCTGGCTGTACCACACGCTAAGGCCGTACTGCATGTCCCAGGGGAAGGTCAGTCCTGCTGATACACATATACTCGTACCAATGACTTAACTTATTTTTATTTTTAATTCTCACCCAAGGACATTTTTATTGATTTTAGAGAGAGAAGAAGGGAGAGGGAGAGAGAGAAAGAAACATCTATTGGTTGCCTCCTGTATGCACCCCAATGGGGTTTGAACCCACAACCCAGGTATGTGCCCTGACCCAGAGTTGGACCCACCACCCTTTGGTGCACAGGACAGCGCTCCAATCAACTGAGCCATATCAGCCAGGGCTCAGTTGCTTCTAAGCTCCTTGAAAGAAGGGACCAGGTTTAGTATACTTTTTTTTTTGTCACTTTGGGTTTTTAACTCTATATGGGTGCCTTATACACAGTAGGCACTTATCAAATGTTTGCTGACGGTTGTTCCTTCAGCAAAGTTTTTTGCAATGCATCTCCCAAACAAACATTTCCTTCTGTAAAGATTATGGTACTGTGTCAATTTCTCCAGTTAGTGGGAAATCTTTCCTATCAGTTATTATTTGTCATGTATAATTATGGTTCTACCCAAATGCTTGGAAAGTAGGATTTTTTTCAAAATCTTGTTAATATTTCCTTGTAACGTAGCATTAACCCCAGAATAGGAAAGACGTGAGCTGGAAGAGAATTTAGCAGTCAGGTGAGTTAATTTCTTAATGAGCAGATGGAGGGACTGAAGTCCACAGAGATAAAGGGCTGTCAGGGACCACCCAGTCAATTCACTTGTCAGTCTGCATTGGGAGCTGATTTCTGGTGCAGAAAATGGATGATTCACACATTTTCAGATTTTTTTATCATCTCTATGTTTGACCTAACTTTTCTGTATTACAAATATGATAACATTTTGCAATATCACATTCTATTCACTGTCAATCCATGCATGCTTCTGTCATTAGACATGGCTATCCATGTGGCCTGTTAACTAAACAGCTCTCAGAACGCAGGGACCAGGTTTGCTCATGGCGACTAGGATGTGTAAGGTGATCAATATAGATTTGTTGAATGAATGAAAGTTGGCCTGAAACACAGTGTATGACTTTCTCATCACTCCAGTGTTCCACTTAGCATATATACGAGTGATCAAATGAATTCGTGCATAGGGACCTACAATCTGGAGGCTGTCCACCTCTGTGGCATGGCCATGTCACAAATCTAAACCTTAGTCTGCCTGCACTTATGGGCTCAGATGTCAATCACAGTCCCCCAACTCAGCTTTAGCTGTCTTAACTTAGAAAGTAGGACCTGCTGGCCTTCTTAACAAATCCTCGACTTCCTGGCCAATCGTGCTCTGTTTCCACATTGCCTTGTCTGACATTCTATAAAACTCACTCTTTCTCAAAAGCCCATGGGAAGAGGGTCCCACTGCTGGTGAGGCACTGTTTGTCCCCAACTCATGGATTGTTTTTCCGTGAATCAATGACGTCAAACTTAACTACTAAATTGTTTTAGCTTTGTCATTTAACACTAGATTATACGGTTTAGTGGTGATGGGATTTTAGTGAGAAATATCTTTGGCTGCACGAAACAATGGCATTAAACATATAGGGGTTTCTTTTTCTCACATGACAAGAGATCCAAAGATGAGCAGTGCCCATGCTGCTCCATCAGTGAAGCTCAGTGATAGCAGGGACAGCATCCTTGGTTCTTTTGGACTTTCCTTATGGTAGCCACGTGGCTGCCATATTGCTATAGCTGTAGGCATTACATCCTGTATTCAATACAAGAAAACAGGAGGAAGGGAGGAAACCTATAGATGTTTCTTATATGACCTTTACATATTTCTTATAAGACAAAAAGCAAACGCCCTCCCATAGATTTCTACTTAAATCTCATTTGCCAACATTGTGTCTGTGGCCACCCATGCCGCAAAGGAGATGAGGAAAGAAAGTGGCCAGGATCTGACCAAAGGCTTGGTGACTGGGCTTCCTCACTTGCACCTTTGCCATCGCCCTTTGAGAAACAGGTCCAGACTAGCCCGCTGGTCCTGAGATGAGAATGAGAGACCAGTGAAGAGGAGACATCCCCGTTGAGCCCAGCCTGGATCAGCCAACCTCCATCAGACCCCCAGATGGGTGAGTCCAGAGCTGCCCTATTGATCAGCTGACCCTCAGCTTCCTGCAAATGTTTGAAAACTAATGTTTGTACAAAAACTCATATAATTTAACACCAAGGCAAACCAATTAAAAAATGGTTAGAGGACCTGAACAGACATTTCTTCAAAGAGGATATATATATGGCCAATAGACATATGAAAAGATGCTCACTGTCACTAATCATCAGATAAATGCACACTAAAACCACAATGAGCCCTGGACAGGGCGGGGGGAGGTTAGGTTGGTTGGAGTGTTGTCCTGTACACCAAAAGGCTGCAGGTTCGATTCCCAGTCAGGACACATACCTAGGTTGTAGGTTTGATCCCCAGTCAGAGTGCGTACAGGAGGCAACTGATCGCTGTTTCTCTCTCACATAGATGTTTCTATCTCTCTTTCTCCCGTCCTCTCTCTCTAAAAAAAATCAATAAAAACATATCCTCTGGTGAGGATTAAAAAAACAAACAAACAAAAAAACCCACAATGAGATATCACTTCACACCTGTCAGACAGGCTATCATCAATAAATTAACAAACAACAAGTGCTGCCAAGGATGTGGAGAAAGGGGAACCCTGCTGCATTGTTGCCGGCAATGCAGATTGGTGCAGCCACTATGGAAAACAGTATGGAGTTTCCTCAAAAAATTAAAAATGGAACTAACGTATGACCAAGCAAATCCACTTCTGGGTAATTATCCAAAGAAACCCAAAACTCTAATTCAAAAAGATGTATGCACCCCTATGTTCAGTGCAGTATTATTTACAATAGCCAAGATATGGAAGTAACCTAAGTGCTCATCAATAGATGCTTGGAAAAAGACATAGGTATAAAATAGAATATATTAGTCATAAAAAGAGTGAAATCTAACCATTTGGGACAACATGGATGGACCCAGAGGCTATTATGCTAAGTGAAATAAGTCACACAGAGAAAGAAAAATACCACATGATTTCACTAATCTGTGGAGTCTAAAGAACAAAATAAATGAACAAACAAAACAGACAGACTCATAGATACAGGAAAAAAACTGAGGGTTGCTAGATGGGAGGAGGGTTGAGGGGCAGGTGAAAAAGGTGAGGGGATTAAGAAGTATGAACTGGTGGTCAAAATAGTCACAAGGTTGTAAATACAGCATGGGAAACACAGTCAACAATCTATAATAATAAAGCATAATACGCTAATTAGACTAGATGTCCTTCCAGACGAAGCTTGGGCTGTGAGGGAAGCCCAGGTCCTGGGTGCCAGAGGGAAGCCAATGCTGGCAGCTGGTGGAAGGAAGGCCTACTCTTACACAAATTTTGTGCGTTGGGTCTCTAATATTGTAATAATTATGGATGGTGCCAGGTGGGTACTGGACTTACCAGGGTGGTCACAGTTTAAGTGACATAAATGTCTAATCACTATATTGTATACCTGAAACTAATATAATATTGTATGTTGACTAATTGAAAACTAAAAAAAGAGGGGGGGAAAAAACTCTTGGATCTGCATATTGAAAGATCACAACTTGTCTCAGAAAAATTAACAATAAAACAAAAACAAAACTGCACTAATACAAAAAAGAAAACTAATTATTGTAATTTTTAAAATACACATTTTTACAACAGCTTTATTGAGATATAATTCACATACCCTATAGTTTACCCATTTAAAGTATACAATTCAATAGTGTTTGGTGAATTTTAGAACATTGTCATCATCCAAAAAAGAAGCCCTATAGCCATCACCATCACTCCCCATTTCTCCCCAACAACCCCAGCCCTAGACAACCACTTACCTATTCCCATTTCTATGGATTTGTCTATTCGGGATTTCATATAGATTGAATCATACATTGTGTGGTCTTTTGTCACTGACTTCTTTAACTTAGTACAGTGGGACCTTGACTTATGAGTTTAATTTGTTCTGAGACCGAGCTCGTTAAGGAGCTCGTTAACTCAAATTACTCTATCAACTCAATGCAAAAAGTCTGCTGAGAGACAGCTGGTATCTCAAAAAACTCATTAGTTGGGACACTCGTAAGTCAAGACCCCACTGTATAATGTTTTCAAGGTTCATCCATGTTGTAGCATGTCAGTATTTCATTTATTTATTTTTGTCCCCCCTCCAGTTTATTGACGTATAATTGACAAAAGTATATGCTAGTATACTTAAGGCATATAACCTGAGGATTTGATATATGAATACATTGTGAAGTGATTATCACAGTCAAGCTAATTAACACTCTCATTACCCCATACAGTTACCCTTTTTTATATCCCTTTAGCACATGTCAGGTCTACAATACGGTATTGCTAACTCTAGTCACCATACTGGGGATAGATGCCCAGAATTTGTCCATCTTATAGTTGAAAGTTTGTACCCTTTGACCAACAGTAATGATTGCTGCTTTGTGATGTTTTCTCACCTGTTGCTATGGCCATGATTACCTGATATAATTGGCAAAATTCATTGTTTACCCCTGGGTGAGTAGCAGAGCATTTATTAAGCAGGCACTGGGGTATGGCAAAGAGGTCCAAGACGTTATCTCCCTCAGGGAGTTTATATCTCTAGCTGAGGAGAAGAAAGCCCTTAGCAAATCATGATGATTTGCTATTTTGGTTTCTCATATTATCACCCTGAACAGCAAAGAAAGCCACTGTGTGCCAAGCATTACAATAGGTGCTTTGTATATTAAACCCTTAACACAGCCTGGCAGCAGGAAGGATGCTTTTGGCTGTGTGTACCAGAAAATCTAACCCAAAGGGGATTAAACAAAAAGGAAGTTCATTGTCAGGAAGTCTTCAGGTATTAAGGCCCCAGAGATAGTTAATGCATTGGCTTAAGGACACCGTTGAGGACCCAAGCTTTCTGTCTGTACCTTCTTTCCTCTTTTGTGTGTCAACCTTGACCTCAGTCT